GAGCCGTTCTGCGGTATCAGCAGTAACTTAATGTTAGGAGAGATTAAAAAAAGAATTGGGCAGTAGAAGAACCGATAATGGGCCATGTTCACATGTGAGATATGCTGTTTTATAAACTATATTGTAATAGTTAGTCGCTATACAAGTTATTCTAAATAATCAGTTCGTTAAAAAAGCTAAAAGTTTTTAAATTAAGCCCAATTGAAATTTAAAATTTGAAATTATACGTCATCGGGAATAGACCAATCAGCTTGTGTCGAAGTTTTTTTTGTTTTACAAAACCAAGCCAACGAACAAACCTACATACAGAATGTCGAAGTGAACGCACATCTAAGTGACATTTAAAAATTGACAGCACCTAACAACTAACCTTAGTTTTTTGTTTTGGTTTAATTTTATTATTAATCTGCATTTATCTGGGTAAATTATCCTGTGGGATATAGGATATATAAAGGAAGAAGAATATAATTTTATCAGCTGTATTTATAAAAGTTGAATCAAGTATTTTTCCCATTGTAAACGAAAATATGATTACCGAGATGATTACTGCATTTTTTAACAATACTCAGTTTCCAAAAGATAGAAAGGTAAAACTTTATTTATAAATTGTTTTAATGGTAGGTAGTTACAGTTTATATGAAGCAGTACACTTTATAGTAAAACATATTTATCTCAGGTTTTATTTTTAGATCTGCCAAGCAAGAATATGGAGATATTTACTTTTTCCATAAGAGAGAAGGAGACAAATTACACCTAAACATAAAGTACAGCAAAAACCTTATGATGTGGCTGTTTTTTAGTGCACAATGCTTAGGATATGTTGAATCTCAAGGTTTGTAATATTTATTATGCTTTTTTGTTTTTATATCACATATAATAAAGTGTATAAGGCCCTTTATTCTTATAAATATTTTTTTTCTAATTTTGACATAAAGAGACATTTTTTGTAATCGCAGCAAGTGTTAAAATAATCTAGAAATAGATTTTGTTAGTGAACCTAGTAATAATTATGATACCAAAGAATGCTGCAGAGCACCTATGAAATTTTGAGTTAAAACATGCCATATTTTTAGGCTATTTTTATACCCTTTTCAAAAATTTTATGCTCCTCGTTTTATGCAAAACTTAAAATGCTCTGATAGCTTCGAACGAAGTCAGCAAAGCACCTCTGTTTTATAAAGTTTTTTCTGTAAAAACAGCAACACCATATATTTATGCACTTGAAATATTATATTTTTAAAAAATACATGGTGCTTGCTAACCTTCGAAAGAAGCCAGCAGAGCAATTCGGTTTTTTAAAGCTTTTTTCTAAAAACCACACCCCATTTTTAGACTCTTGAAATATTGTAAAACTTTACTAAAAAAATTGCTATTTTTAAATAATACAGGGTGCTTTGTTGGAACAAAGTCAGCAGGACACTTCAGTTTTTTAATATATAAAAACAACTACTTATGACACATGTTTAGGCTGTTTTAAAATCCTAAAAATGTGGTAAGTATATTTGTTTTCAGAAAAAAAACTTTGAAGTCAGGGAATTGCGAATTTTTTTTAAAAATGTCAAATTTCGAATATTTTATAATATTGTAGGAGCCAAAAAATGTGGTGTGGTTTAAAAAAAAACTGGGGTGCTCTGCTGGATTCGTTTGAAGCTAACAAAGCATCCCGTAATTTTTTATTTTATAATACTCAATAGCCTAAAATGAGACATAGCTGTTTAAACAAAAATGGTACTTTTAAAAATAGCAGTTTTTTCGAAAAGCTCTATAATATTTCAAAAATGTGAAAATGTGGTGAGCTTGTTTTTTTTAAGTTTTGAAAATCAGAGGTTCTTTACTGGATTCGTTCAGAGCTAGTAAAGTGCTCGTCTTGTTACATAAAATAAGGCATTTTGTAGCTGGTTATATAGTTATTTTGTAACTGCATATCTAACCCTTTTATTTTTTTCAGGAGGTTGTAAACATGTGGCTTCATAGAAGAAGTGAGGAACCATCTGTAACATCTACTCAGTGTTATTGATAATGATGTACACTTGGCTAGATTGTTAAAGAAACCTCTTCATCCACTACAGGAAAATAAATCAGTACTTTTATATTCTTAGGATTTGTATATATTTTTTATTTGTAAATAAATTGTTTTTTACTTCATTTTTCTCATTTTTTATTAAAAGGTTAATAAATAAAATTTTCACAGATTTTTATATTTTTGTTTGTAAACAATAATTGAAGTTTTTATTAAAAATCACCAATGTTAATAATAATAACTTAAGTCAATATTATTCTTTCTCCTTTTTTAAAGCTACTATTAATAAAGGTATTACTTTAGCTTGACCTATGATCAATTTTTAATTTTGTGATATATTTGGTTTGACAGAAAAAAAATTAAAACCCTTTGACATTGGTTGTTTTTACTTAGATTTTCATAAAAAATAAACGGAACTGCAAACATGTTTTACTATCGTAATAACGAATAGCAACATGAATTTTTTTTTTCACATTTATCACTGTTGTCATTTTCATAAGAAGGCACACTTTCTGGTTTTTTGAAAAAGGTGGCAAGAACTGTGATATTTTTAAATTTATCACCAGTGATACCACATGTAGTTACCAGATTTATTGGAATATATAGACTTTGCTACCACATTCAACTGAACTTGGTTTTTAATATTTATCACTGTGACATAGGCGTTTTTGTTAAAATGTTTCATTTTAAACTGCTGTAAATAGGTGCCTTTGTTTTGGTAGTTTCAGTCCCAAAAAAATCTATGCATATACAGGTACTCATTCCTCTTCAATTTGCTCGAAAAGTTAAATTTTTATCAAAAATTACATTGGCTGTTTAAAAACTCATTATAATCCCTGAAATGTGATAATTAGGTAAATTAAATTAAAAAACAAAAAAGTTTATTAAATTAATATTTACTCTTACAAAATAGGTTCTTGTAAGTTAACAAGCAATTATGCAGATATTACTAAGTAAATGTACTTGCTTAAAATTCACACACGAATGTGGTTTTAACATGTTAAATTAACTAACCCTTCTTATAACTCTTTCCACATGTATTCTTAGAGATGCTATTCTTTTACTTAATTGTACATCTTCTTGAGAAGTTTTTTCATTCTGTGATACACTAGGTGTGGCTTTACTAAAGTGTATCCCATGTTTTCAAGTAGCTGATTATTCTGAAACCCCTATCTGCCATTATATGGGATCCAGGAACCAGTTTGTTTAAATACCCACATTTTTCCATTATTTCTTTATCACTAGTTCTTCCACAAAATGATGAATAAATTCGGTATCTTCAAAACTTTCAGGAGATTCTGCATTTTCTTCCAGAAGGGTTTTTAGGTTATACACCTAAGAATTTATAGTATCCTTATTTTCAATTTCCTGAAGGGGACAATTAGCAGAAATTGCTGCTACATCTTGATAATCCGGTGTATTTTTATTAAAAAGTTCACGAGAAACATCGCTAGTAGAAGGTTGATTTTCTTCTTTCCAAATTTCTAGGAACACTAATAAATATTTTTGAAGATGAATGTGAATCATTATCACATTCTGGAACAAAACACTTTTTCGTAGTCATAATATTTATAAAAAGTACAAAATTAAACAATCAAATTCCAAATAAATTCTTGATGGAGACACTATGATGACAGATGCCATACACAGTGCTGCCATTTTGCCATTTTCTGAATTATTAAGTGACTTTTAAAACAATGAAACCTTAAATATGGTAAAAGTTTAAACAGAAATAATACTTTAAAAAAACATTTGATATTATATATTTAAAAGATATTTGTTTAACGATGTTTTAGAAGTCTAAAAGTAAGAAGGAGTACACAAACGAACGTACATCACTTCTCGTAAACCTTCTAGCCGGCAACGTTGTGCGCTAGCTCCTATTGGTCTATTCCCGGTGACGTCATAAATTTTAAAAAAATTCATAACTCCGGCAAATGAATAGATAAAAAAAAAATAAAAAAAATGTAGTTTTATTTTCAACTCTATTATTCATAAAAAAAATTTCAAAATTTTTGAACATGCCCCATTGGAACAATCTCTTGGGGCTGAGACAGGCTAGGATACTTCTGAGTGAATATAACCAGAAAAGATTGGAAGCCTGCATCTGCCTGAGCAAGAACAGGCTACGTATTGTAACAGGGATCCTTACCGGGCATTGCCGACTAAAAGGACACCTTAGTAAACTGAGAGTAGTAGAGGATAGTGAGTGCAGATTCTGCGAGGAGAAGGACGAAACCTCCATTCGCATTCTAACTGAATGTGTAGCACTCCAGAATCCAAGGGCACTATACCTAGGAGGATATCAAATAGAAAAGGGAGATTTACCTAACATAATTTCTATTTTGATATATGTAATGTCATATTAATACTAAAATCGATATGATTGTTAAATTATTGAAATTGTTGTAAATTAGATCCTAGATATTTATTTTTAACAAATATTATTAAAATAATTTTAAAATAACTAAGATAGGTTTGCTCTTTATTCTGATTAAATACATAACCGATTAGATAATTTAATTGACGTAAGGGCTATTAACTCAGATAGTTTTAGAACTTCGAACTTATCAACTTTGCCATATGAGACCTGGCGAGCGACCGCGTTCAAATCCTGGCAGGGCCAGAATTTTTTTTTTTTATTTTTTTTGTTTTTTTTTTTTTGTTTAGAAAATATGAAAATTGAATAAATACGAATATTGTTGATTATTTTTTTAAATACATTATAATTATTATAGTAATAATAACCTAGTTTTACATTTTTTGATGACGTTATTTTGTGGTCGTAGGAAAAATATTGTACATCACTTATGTGAAAAGTGATTTTCCACACTCGTGTGATAGTCACACTCGGCTTGTGCCTCGTGCGGCAATATTTCCCACTCGTGTAAAAATGTCACTTTCCACACTCGTAATGTAATATACTCGTACTATTGAATCACCTTTACCTCTTAGTCAAAGTAAATAATTCACTACTTACACCAGATCCCAATTAGGCATTCTTCTGACCTCCGCCATCAGATTTTGCACTTTATGTCTGAAAAATGGTTCAAATCTGATGTCATCCTCTAAAACTAATGTAATTTCGTAACGTTCTTGTACAATCTAAAACAAAAGTTTACCCACTTCAAGTTTTACCGTAAAATTAATTGTTTTAGGACCAACCAGAAAGTATGCACTTTCTAAACAATTTTTGTCCAGAAAGTAACGTTTTGCCGACCGAGACCGAAAAATAGACGTTAGGAACCGGTAAAAGCATTACCGGTCCCTCTTTTTCAGTACAGCTTCGTTACCATGGTAACAACGATTTATTGACAAAATGACAGTTCGTTGATTTTTTAGTTTGTTGTTTATATCAAACTTGTTTTCGCAAATTTAAAAAAATGGATTCAGATTTTGAATTATCTGACATATAGAAAATGAAATTCCAGAAGAAATTTTGGAAGCAAAAATGTACATTTAACATAAATATTCAAAATTAATGCAGTTGAATCCATTATCTACTTTTAGTATTTGTTAATCACTTTATTAAATAAAATAAATAATTGAGTTTACATCAATGTGTCGGTTTTAAAAAAAATATTGTACGTCACGCGACCGAAAATTAGTATTAAGCAGGTTTCTGCAAAACACTACTTTCCGGTCTTGTAACGTAAATTACTAATAAAAGGAAATATTGTAAAAAAAAATTATTTCAATACGCAATTTAAAGATTTTAAAAAGTAGTACAGCTTTGAAGTAATTACCTTTAAATATGATAGGTGTGGTTGTAACGTGCATATTTGGTAGTACGAAATACTAGGTTTTAAATTCTTCTTACCTTCTGTCTAGTGAACGTAAAAAGGTAAACTATTCTAGATTGCTGATATAAGATTTTGAAGCCATTACTTTATTGAAAACTAGCTGTATATATTGTCATTTTTATTATTTAATTCATCTTATCAATAGACAGGAGTATAGGAATTTATTCGAAGTACCTAAGTTGTATATTTACTGTATTTTTCATTTCATTTTAAATTCAGAGCGCTAGTTTACAGCAAATAATACCTTTAAAAGCTTATATCGGTACAATAGAACGGTTTACCTTTTTAAGTTCATTAGACAAGTCGTATTTAAAACCTAGTATTTTGTACTGTCAAATATGCACGTTACATGGGGGGCTATTTTCAAACTCGAGAGAATTCATTTCTCTCAAGAGAAATGTCATACGTCAACGTAAAACAGTATTTTTAGGGCTCTTAGGGCCAGTGTGAACTCACTAATTGTTTCTCTCGGTTTATTTAGAAAGAATTAAAATTCTCCTAGGAATTTTAATCCTTGAGGCCTTTAAAAACAGGGTTTCTACATTGACATATGACATTTCTGATGAGAATCTTGAGAGAAATGAGTGCTCCCATACTTTGAAAATAGCCCCCCTGGTCGTAGCCGAGAAAGATAGATGCCGGTGATGACTACGCACTCTAAATTACATCCAAACTGTCATTTAAAAAAGAAGAAGAATTGTACGCTTCGATATATGTGATTTTTTTTTTCAAGGCATATTTTAGATACATTTTTAGAGGATTACTTCATATTATTTCTATTAGGTATATTTCTGATCTCAAAAGATAACTGCTTTAAAAATGAATGCCGATATTTTATAATATAGATATTTTTTACTTACTTTTTTCCATAGATTAAAATGACTCATAAAGCAACCGATTTCTCCTAATTTCATTGGCCTAAAAACGAAATTATTTTAATTAAAATAAAAATAGTATGCGAAGCGTTTGTGCTACAAACGTCAAAGTAAATCAAAGAACTCTTACCTTTTGTGATAGGGATCAGAAAATTCGGGCATAAATTTTATACTCTCCAAAAAGCTTTCATTGAGAGATCTAAAAAATATTTATACACTAGTTTTATTCATTTGCATATAATGAATAATAAAAATAAAAAGTCTTTATACACGTTCACATGTTTTTGAGGGTCTATCATGTTTTTATAAAGTTCTCTAATATTCTATAAGGTGTTATGAGGTTTTGTACGGTGGTATAAGGTTTCATAAGGTTTTATAAGGGTCTATAATGTTCTATGTTTGTTTTTAAGGTTTTATAAGGTTTTATGAGTTTTTATAAGACGTCACAACTTATTATAAGGTTTAATTAGGTTTCATAGAGTTCTATAAGGTTTTATAAGTTCTTTAATTTATGTATGTAAAAAGTTATTACTAAAGTTAAACAAAAAATACAAGCAAATCTTTATTTTATTATATTAAAAAAATCTCATTCTACAAACACGAAAAAAGCGAAAAATATAAAATGTTATTTTTTTAAATTGTCTCTATCATTAATATCAATATTAAGAAGTGATGAAATGTTTGCATTTGTATTATATACATTCATTTTTGCACTCTTTAGAGAGTTGATTAGTAAAATTGTGAATTCCTAATATTTATGTATCTTAAGAAACCTAAATTGCAGAATTTTCATTTTTAGATTTTTTTAAAAATTAGGCAATCCTTATTTTTGAAAAATTTTTCTCACAATTGTTTTTTAACATTCGAATGATTTCAAGACATTAAATCATAATTCACTTAACAGCTGTTGGTAAAAAGTGAAATCAGCTGTTTTCGTAGTTTGTTCCAGTGGCGGCTCGTGTGGTAGTGCCACTGTGCCATGGCACTACCTTATTTTTGATCCAAAAATATATTTTTTTTATTTTTAAAACGTCTTATCATATTTTTATTTTATGCATTTATTTTTATATTAAAAAATTATTTGAAATGTGGCAACCTCGCGCTGCATAAATCTCCAAGCTCTTGTCGCGTACCGGAGTCATTTCTCAGCTGGCACTAGGGGAGAGAGATTTTACCAGCAGCCTATGTGAGCAACAGAAATGGGGATATTTTACATGTATTTAAACGGTAAAATCATGGAATGTTCGTGCCAGGCACAGCGCCGATAACTGTTAAGATAATCGCGGTTTCTCGATAATGTCGATTGTTGACTGAATTAACCGAATTTCTTTACGCGCTTTTAAGCTTTTTGTTACGTTAATGTGTGTCTTTTTGTTTTCGATAAACTTGTTTAAATATCTTATTTCCTAGTTTTTAATTTACTGTAATAATGAATAAAATTGGCGTCTTAAAAAACTCTTTTAGTGGTTTTTAGCTAGAAGAAAAACTACAAATTAAAGAATTAGGCCGGCCAATTCCCAATTTAAAAAGTGGACAAAAATCGCGGTGTCGTAAATTTAATAAAACTATTTATGATAAAAATAATTGGTTGTGTGGTTGCGAAGAAACTAATAAACTGTTTTGTTTTGTATGTGTTTTGTTTGGAGGTAACGAGACTTGGTCAAAAAAAGACACAAACGATCTTGTCCATATATGGGATAAAATGAAATCCCATGAAAAATCTAAAGTGCACATGAATAATGTTTTTAGCTTTTCCCATGCTTGGTAAGTTAAATATAAAAACCCAATTAAATTCGGCTTATCGTGATGCTCTAATTAAATATAATCAACAAGTGGATAAGAATCGATATGTTTTAAATCAAATTATAAATTGTATAAGGTTTTGTGGAGCTTTTGAGTTAGCTTTAAGGGGTCACGATGAGAAAGATAGAAGCATATTTAAGGAGCTGATGAGTTTTAGCGTCAAATTAGACAACGACTTAAAGGTTCATATTCAAAGTTCAAAAGCTTTCAAAGGTACCTCAAAAACAACCCAAAATGAACTTCTTGAGTGCATGTTAGATGTTTATCACGAAGAAGTTAGGAAAGAAATAAAAAATTCTTCTTTTGTTGCAGTGATTGTCGATGAAACAATGGACGTTGCTTGTGAATTTCAATTATAATAATACTCTCCCTAATTCATCCCCTTACGAGTGAATTTTAACCCCAAAAACTGAGCTTGTGAGGGGAAAGGGACGGCTATTATTATTATGTGCCGTGGCGCTTCGGGTCGACTTTAAGATGATTGACTTGACTTACATATGAGGAAAACCCGGAAAACCTCACCCACCATCATTTTTATATAGTTTTTAAATATTTGTGTAAAGGACGACCAGATGAGAAATTTTGGAGGTTCTACATGCTCGATATGGACATGACGCCAAATGCATTTTAAATGTGTAACGGTTGGACCCGTTTTCGTTATTTTGACACCAACATCTCTACACAAATGTCATTTGTCGTTTATGCCTTGCGTCAAAAGTTCCCATTTCATTTTGATTTGTATCTGTCAACGAATAAGTTGATCTAAATTTTAAATCATCTGGGTCATCCGATGTACTAAATAAATATTATCTATCGTATATTCTATCTGATTTTATAAGGTAAGTTTTCATATCGATATCTTGTTGAAAATATAGGTATATTTTCTACAAAGATTTCTTAATTAAAATGTCAAATTTGAAACATAACCTCAACATGAATAACACATGGATAACACGTTTTGTATAATTTTAATATAATTTTGTTTGGAATGGATATTATGCTTTACTATATTTAAATATGTTAAATAAGATTTTTCCTTTTCATATTAATTTTAGTCTCTGTGAAACTATTCACTTAATAGTTTAAATTGTTCAATTATTAGTTAAAGGCATTTTATCTGGTTCCTATGCAAATTTCCTAGTTCCTTTTGTAATATTGTTACCTTTTCCTTGTAGCCCGGCTATATCTAGACGGTTCTGTATAAGTTATATTCAAAGAAATTCAAGCTGCATCTAAAGAAGTTTATTTCAAGTTATATCAAGAGGTTTAGTTCGAGTTACATCTAAAGAAGTTTATGAGATTTAAGTTTATGAAGATTTATACCTGGTGCTACCCGAAGAGTATCGTTCGAGTCCCTTTGAAAAAGGCCTATGCAAATCTCTCCTTTATACTACCTCCTGTTATAACAGATAAGTCTATTTTTATGCAATAAACCATCTAAATTTGAATTAGTAAATCTCTGTGAATTAGAATTTGTTATTGCCTTATCTAAAACTTGGTCTAAATATAATATCTTAATGGTTAGTGATTTTCTATATTTTTATCATTAACCGATAGTCAAGTATAGTAAGTTTTAAATATAGTGGTGCCCAACCTCTTGTTCAAAGTAATACGAGTTATTTAATAACCTAACCCACTCCCAAAATCATTTAAGCTTAAAACACTATAAAAAATAGATAAAATAACATTACAAATGTTTTACATTAATTATAAAAACATAGTCCAAATAAATTAATTGCTCAAAGCTATGACGGCGCGTCTGTAATGAGTGGCGGATTAAATGGTGTGAAAAAATTATTAAACAAACATATCCTCTTGCAAATTACGTTCATTGCTATGCACACCAGATGAATTTAGTTATGACAAGTGCATGTTCTGTCAATAAGCAGGCTAGAATATTTTTTTCTAATTTGTTTGGCTTGTTCTCTTTCTTTTCCACGTCTCCTCAAAGAACAAAAATTTTGAATGAGGTAGTTAATCGCAGGTTGCCAAGATCTTCCCAAACACGTTGGAATTTTCAATCGCGAGGTGTTCATACTGTTTATGAGAATAAAAAAGACCTCATTACAGTTGTGGACATTATAGAAAGTACTTTACGCGACTCGTCGTCTATTAATCAAGCAAGTGGGTACAAATTAAAACTTCAGGATAAAAATTTTATATTTTGGTTAAGTATTTTTCATCAAATAATGCCTCACGTGGAAATTATTACAAAAAGTATGCACAGATTCTGTTAAGGTCAAGAAAGATTTGGAGAATTTCGAAGCAGCAATTCAAGGTATACGGGAGCAAATGGACAGTATTATTGACAATATTGTCACGATTCGTATAAATTCATATTTTTCCTAATTTTAATTAATTATTTAAATAACATCCTGTACATAAAACTTTGTTTAATTATGTCAACAATTTGTTTTAAATAGCAATAATGTGCAAGGTTGGTTATTTAATAATTATTAAACATGTTTTAATAACAATAAACTATGAGAAAGTTATAAAGGTAATGTCGAGGGGATGCACGAGGCTTTTTCCACAGGGAACGGATCCTCCCTTTAGGAGATCCCCTTGTAGGAGATTCCCTGTAGCAGCTTCAGGTCATAATCTTTATAGTTTAAATTAAAAGTCATTTTTTAGTATTTCAAATAATTACATTTTTAAATAGTTTGTTAAGGGTTGTGACATGTGCCCCAAAGATTAGCGGAGTTGGTAAGTAAGTATTTTGTCTTTTATATTATATTGAGCCTATAGTTGTGTATGTCGAGTTGAGACATATTTTATATAATCGTTGTAACTATAATATTATATTTGTTTTGAGAAAACATTGTGTTTCCTTCAGCCCTTTTACAGAGACGTGTCAGGTTCTAACATCAAGAGTAGAATCCTTATACAGTTAAGGGCTACGAAGCCAAGTTTAAGGCTAAATAGTGTTAATGTGATTGAGTCCCAAATTCATATATTTTGTTATATAACCCCCGGGACATAGATAGTCCCACAATTATTTAAAACACGCAAATCGTGATATTTCTTTATAAAGACACGTACAACGTGACAATATTCAAGAAGAAATAAATACGTCGCAAGGAGAAACTGGTGAACCAATAAGAAAAAAGGCACGAATTGAAGAGAACAACAGAAAACGCGAAGCCTTAGAAATATGCGATGCCGTTTTATTGCAAATAAAAACAACGTTCAATTTTTTTGGGCATTTGGTCGCTTCTAATTTATTTATGTCGAGAAGTTTTTGGTATGAGAAGTTTTTGGTCTATAGACATCAGTTTCTCGAATCATTCCTCAATGAAACATGTATACAATTTTCATTTTTAGACAAAAATATGCTAAAAAATGAATTACAAGTACCGTATCAGAGAGACGAATTAAGTACTACCTCTAAAGCTGTCTCGCTGTCAATTTTATTAAATGAGGAATGTTTAAATTGTATATTTCAGGAAACTTTTAGGTATTTTGATAACAATACCTATGTCAACATCTGAAGCAAATACAACACTAGGGTAGACATATATAGGATGAGGCACCGAAAACGAAACAGAATGAATATCTTAAAAGATAATTTTTTTTAGACAAAATAAATTACAAAGACATGTCTATTTATCATATATACTCAACTGTCATACAAAAAAAAAACTAATAAATAGATAACAGAAACTTACTTTCCATCAACTGCATCTAAAACGTCTACTTCAAGGCCCAACTCATCGAAACAAATGTTCATTCTTCTTCTCCTTTCCGGTCTCCTCAATAAGTTTATCATAAATATTTTATCAAATCCCAAGGTATCTTTCCTAGGTAATTCTCTGGTGAACTTTTTTAGCAAATCGTTAACGTATAATTCGTTCATCTCATTTAAAACTTCCAGTTTGATATTAATCATTTGTTCATAATCCATATTGAGTTGGTCGTTTTGCTCCAAAGGTACCTAAAATATTGTCACGATATAGTTACGATCTGTAACTTAAAATGGAGAATGTTGATTTTAAAAAAGTGTAACTTTATCACATTGCCTACCGTTAAATATCCAAATTTAAGTTCGTTACAAACATTTAAAGAGATGGCACTTCTATTGGCGCTGATAGCAAAAGCAATGATATCATCGTTGGGTCCATTAAAGTTTTCTATTCTAGAAGGAACGTAGGTTAAGTAATCAGATTCTTTTCTTCTTAAATCTATGAGAACACATGTGTGAACCATTGGTACGTTGAAGCAACCTGTTTAATAATAAAAATTAAATTAACAATTTTGTTATAGATTTAGTGGTTAAGAAAAGAAAAAATACTTTAACCCTTAACTCCATCGCGTATCGTATATGATACATCGCATTTATAATACTGCTACTGACATATATTGGCTTATGTAAGAATTCCATTGTGTTGTACGGCTGAGACAACATGCATTAGAAGATAATAACAAATTTTACCATCATTTGTTTCTATGACAGAACATTTATGACCTCAAATGTGCACAATTACGTATGTTGTGATGTACTGGTTTTTGAAGTGCTTTTGAGATTAATTTCTGGTGTGTAAATTCATATAAGTGAATATCAGAAATTATTTTTCTAGTATCTGAGGTATGTAGTTTAGTTTTATTTATTTAGTTTTACAGTTTGTTATCAAGAAATTTCTAATAATTCATTTACGTGGTATCGCATTTGATACATCATGTAATGCAGTCGTGTGAAAATTTATGGATATATTTACAATAAAAAAATCTTTAGATGGATAACTATATAAATTTCGTAGACGGTAAAGGACGGAAAAAAGCCCTAGGAGAGGAAGGTATGTGTCGCTTATTAGATATATGCCTTACGGGAGTGAAGATGATTTTTTTTCGTTTCTATAATACAAATTGAAATATTAAACAATTACGCACTAATTGGACACCTGGTATATTTGTTAATAAATTATCATAAAAAGGGTCACACATAAAATTTTGTATGTATTTCGGGCGTAAACAGCGTATTAATAGCCCTCGCCTGATGGCTCGGGTTCTTACTTATACGTTAATTGCGGTCCATAAACGCCTGTTTACGCCCTTGATACATAAATAACTAGTAATTGTTTTATTTAAGCAAATGAATGTACTTATTGGGTAATTGCGAATTTAACTCTTGTTTATGTATCTTTAATTTAACGAAGTAGTAATACTAACCTAAATTTTCTCTATACAATACGGGCGTGTATTCTTCAGTTCTTTGATAGTAATAGTCGTCTGTCATGCCATACCAAAAATTCGAGTAAAGTCCTTCGGATCTAAGCAATGGTGCTACAACGGTAAAATTCTTAGAAACTAGATAGTTGAGTGTATCTGGGTTTACTAAAAATACATCACAGTCGATTGTCTGAAAAAAAAATATGTATAACTTTTGTTTATTATTTAACATTTTGTATATATTTCAGTTTTAGAAGCCTATCTAAATTTTAACGTATTCCTAAAGTAGTGCAACAAATTATTTCCCGAATTCTCCAAAAAAATACAAAAAATTCCAGTATACCACTCGATATTCTCCACAACCTGGTATAAACATTTTCCCGATAACTCAAACACATATTCCAGAAAAATTGGGGAAAAACTTAGGTCGGACGCTTTTCTGGGAAAAACTTTACCTTGAAAAATACCTTAGGAAGATTTTTATTCGGATTAATGAGTCGCGTTGATTGATGTATCACATGTTAGGGTTTTTATGACGGGGGGAGGGGGGAGAAACCAAAAAACATTGTCGTTTTTATGGAAATTTATAAAAAAAAAATTAGGTAAATGCCTTTTTAAAATCTCAGCAGATTTAATCGTTTCTAAAAATTTCCTTTCGTATTGTAAGGGTGTTTTCTCGCCACAGAGAAAACGTTTCCTTACGAATGGCGCTGGTTACGGGCGGCTCTCGAGCGCCAGATTTTTGGTTATGGTTTACTCCACAAACTCTCGAAACGGCGTCGAAAGTACTCGGGTAGCTACAGATGAAGATGAAAAATTCCAGGGGTAAAAGGTCACTTAGACACAGGTAATGATAGGCCACAATTAACGGACTTTAATCGTTGCTTGGGCTGGAACAGGATTTATCACTAGCTGAAATACAAGGGGGAAATAAAGTATGGAATTAGTAACCAGTAATACGCCAAGTTAACATTGACACATATATTGTGAATAACTATTTACACATTAAAATTAAAAAATATATATATTTCAACGCCCACCCTCGTTGCGATGATAATCAATATAACCCTGAACAAAAAAAAAACAAAAAATAAACGGACGGTATTGAATTCCGACTAGTCTCAATCAGACGTCAAAATTTAATTAAAATAAAATTAGTATTTCGGCCGCAGGAAAAATTAACTTGACTACTTAGTCGGTAATTAAACTAAAACATAATTTTCCATTTCGGTAAGGGAAAATTCTAAGAGTGGTCATAGCAAAAATTAACTATTTAACTGTCGCATCGGGAATTAAACTAAAATGTACTTTACTATTTCGGTAAGGAAAAATTATCTATACGGTCGCAGAGAGTGCGAGGAGACAGGATTGTGAAAGAACTACTTGTAGTAAATATTCGGAAAGGAAAAAAAATAAATTTATACCCGGGGTAGCCTATTATCCCAGAATGAGCTGATCGTCATTACGAGCACGCTCAGACAGCGTAATGAAGCTATTTGAGATTTCTTAAATTTGCGATTCGCACGTAAAAATTAAAGAATACAAGGGGAAAAAGATAAACTAACGCGGATAGTACCTAATCCAAGAATGAGCTGATATCATCATCACGAGCCCGCTCAGACAGGGACAGGTTGCTATTTAAGATTATTTAAATTGGCGGTAAAAGAGAAAACAAAACTATTATCAGAGGGAAGAAAACTACTAATGCGGATAATACCTAATCCACGAATGAGCTGATCGTCATCACGAGCCCTCACAGACAGGGACAGGATGCTATTTAAGATTATTTAAATTTGCGGTTTGCACATTAACTAAAAAAAATAACGCGGATAGTACCTAATCCAAGAATGAGCTGATCGTCATCACGAGCCCGCTCAGACAGGGACAGGATACCATTTAAGATTATTTAAATTTGCGGTAAAAGAGAAAACAAAACTATTAAAAGAGGGAAAACGACTCCTCGAAAACTCCGTTTCTAAATATTCCCAACTTATTTATAAGGCGGGATCAAATTTAATTCCCTATTTAACCTACCAAAAAGAAAAGTTTAATTTCTTAGGTCAGACTAACTATCAAATGTCTAAATCAACGGTATTACAATTTTAAAGAACTAAATCCTATCATTTATTATTTAAATCAAATTCAATTCGCTTTAAAGAAACGATATTCTATTTTTAAAGTAACTTCTAATATTTATTAATTAAATCAAATTAAATTACCGGTCTAAGACTAACAAAAAGAAAAGTTAGATTCCTTAAATCTTTTTCACAACAATATCTTTAAAAACGGTATTATATTTGTCAGGAAATAAATTCTAATATTTATTAATGAAATCCTACTATGTCTTTTAACTCGACAATGAATTAAAATGTTCCTATTTCCAAAAGATAAATCGGTTTTTAAATTAAACTAAATGCGGTCTCAATATAAAACGTTTCTTCTATAAAAAATCTGATGTGGCCAACACATGACTTTCCTATCTAGGTATTATAGGCTTTTTCCGGTTATTTTGTACAACCTATTGCAGCATCTCTATAAATGTTTAGAGGATAAACTAAATATATACATTGTCCACATATATCTACCTCGAAACATTTTTCTATAGATATTTATTGAAAACGAAAATACTGAAAAACTTAAATTTAGAACTTTTCCATTACGGTCCATTTTAGAAAAATTATGTATAAACAAAAATTATAGAGATCGATATCGCAAACAACTTTTAGTTCAACAATTTTCATAAAAATCAGAATTTTGCACATTTTGTCAAATTTCTCGAATACGGACCATTTCAGGAAATTTTGACATAAAATAAAAATTATAGATAATAATATTAGAAGTAACTTTTATTTGAACAATTTTCTTCTCCAAACATAAATAACAGATATATTCCATAAAATATAAAACGGCCTCCCATAAAGTACCCCCCAGATGTTCCGACTTTGTCCAAAATCTACTCGTTTCACGTCAGGCCGAAATAAACCTTAAGTTTAAAATTTAATTTTTTTTTCTTTATCTGTTTTTGAGTTTTCTTCAAAATTCGAAATTTACACATTTTCTCAAATATCTCGAATACGGTCCATTTTAGAGAAATTATGTATGGAATAGAAATTATAGAGAATTATATTACAAACAACTTTTATTTGAACAATTTTTATAAAAAATTATTTTTTTTACATTTTGTCAAATTTCTCGAATACGGACCATTTTAGGAAAATTTTGTATGGAACAAAAATTATAGATAATTATATTAGAAGTAACTTTTATTTGAAGAAGTTTCTTCTCCAAACGTAAATAACAGATATATTCCATAAAATATTAAAATGACCACCTATAAAGTACCCCCCCAGATGTTCCGACTCTGCCCAAAATCAGTTCATTAGACGCTGGAATAAAGCTTAAGTTTAAAATTTGGTGTTTTTCTGTGTATCGGTTCATGAGTTATGCGACATACAGACACACACACACACACACACACATACAGACATCATCGCGAAAATAGTCAAAACGGATTCAGGGGACCTCAAAACGTAAAAATCCGTCGAAAACTCGAGGTCGAAAAAAATCATGATTCCTATACTTTCCTTATATCTGTATACAGATAGGAAACTAAAAACTGAAATAAGGTTTTTTACCTAACGGATTTATAAACACGATACGAAAAATTTATCAACGGCGGACCTAATTTAAATGCGGCTTCTACTTTTAACTGGCTGAAATCAAGTGCCTTTCCAAATCCTTTCAATTCGCGACGAAAGCGAGAGAAATTCCCATCCACGACCAGTACTACCGCGCATCGATATTTCGATCGGCGGTGCGCAACTGTTTTAGCCTAAGACAAGCAGTTCGAGCGCGTATATTATTTAATAAATAAAGTGATCAAGTAAAAATTGATTTCGTTAAAGTATGGCGAAAATTTGAATTATTTTCCGTTTACAAAATTTTTCGACAATTTTTCCGAAAAAACTAAAAATTTGCGTGTACTACTCGATGTTCCTCATAATCTGGTACCGAAATTTTCTTGATACCTCAAACACATTTCCCAGGGGAAATTTTGAGTCGAACGCTTTTTCGGAAAAACTTTGCATAATAGAGCAAAAAGACCTCAAGAAGACGAGGCGTGTTGATTGATGTATTACATGTCAGGGTTTTTATGATAGGGGGAGGGGGAAATCAAAAAAACCATAAACTTTTCGAGATTTTTTTTCAGTAATTTATTAACAATTTAAAATAAATGCGTTTTTTAAATTTGTATTTATCGGATGGTGTAAAAAAAATTGAAATTTTCCTACGATATTTCCCACGATAAAGTAGTTTTGGTAGTCGCATGACAAGCGACATGAATCACTAGTAAATTAAATAATAACGAGTTTCTTGGCATACATTTTAAATTATCAAACTAAATGTAATTCATGGATTTTTTAATTTTAGTTATCTATCTAACTACGGGGTAGAAAAAAATCTCGCAACAAGGTATTTTTTTTTTAACGAATGAATGTATAATTTTGAAACTGCAAATTATATCATAGAAACTGCTGAGGTGCCCAGAAATTCCTAGAATCCCACCAGCCGGCAGCTCAAGTTTCTGATTATCAACAAACATGTGTTAAACAATAGTTATTTTTACATTGTCTGATGTTTTTTTTTTCTCTCCTGGGCTCGTCTGACTATGTGTCTCCGAATAACACTGAAGCCTATTGGCTTATTGTGTTTTACCCCATGTTAGTTCATAGCATCCACTCTATCACCTTTGTACCTTGTACAAGTTTGTACAGATCCTTGGGTAAGTGGGTTCTATACGTTGTTGGATCAACCTGGGGTTGTCCAAAAAGAGCCTGTCTTTTGCGATCTAGAGCTTCGCATTAGCACAGTATGTGTTTGGCCGTTTCTGGTTTCTTGTGACATAATCGGCACATAAGTTCCCCATTGTACATGCCAATTTTGTTCAAGTGTCCCTTTACTGGGGCGTGCCCAGTCATGAACCCTGTTATCACTTTCAACTGGTTCCTATTCATTAAGAGTAGTTCTCCAGTTCTTTTGGGACATGGTCTGCCTATGAAGGCTTTTCCATGTGCCTGTTTTGGGGTGCTTCCCCAATAGTTGATATGTTGTTCCCGAATCCAGTCATTTATAAAACCCCGGACTGTACTTTTTGGTACTCCTGGGTTTGTGTCTGGTTCCGGTGTTTCT